ATAGTCATGGCTTTCCATAATATTAAAATTGAGATCATTTTGTCAAAATCAGCTAGAAGTGTCATTGCACAATCATTCTTATAACAAGAGTAGAAAAGGAAACGACGGTATATGTTTCGCATGACCTTGCGGCCAAAAACGTCAGAGTTGATTTAGGCAATAAGAAACAAAAAGAACCAGCCATCTTACGGTTCGCCCATGATACAGTGATCATTTAATGCTGTCAAGGCCAGTGTTTTCAGCCGAAACAACAAGCTCCTTTTTCAACGAACAAATAATCTGTCACAATCTTGTCAAGAAGCGTCTACACAAACATGGTATACGGCCATCTCAACTCTGTAATGGGACGACAAGTATAATAAAGAAACCCATCTCAATACCGCGGTTCCTGCTCTGCCTATGATCCATTCATCGCATATTCGACAATGTGCAGAAGTCTGAAGTCCAGAAACTAAACTCGAATCCAAAACAACCATCTCACGGCTGCATGCAGGAAAGGATTAATTTATTACAATTATAATCAACCAAGAAATGATCCGAAGGGCCAAACATACAGAAGGTTGAAAGCTGAAAGCCAACTGTGTTTATTTTAAATGGCGTAATGCATCCAATCTGCCACCATAGATGTGGATTCAAATTCTCCATAACTGAACAGAACCAAACAGGTACTTCCAATGAACCGACCTTGAGCACAAATCCAATTTCAGAGGTTCGCTCAAGCGCAAATATAGACCAGAGGCCAAAGCACTGACAACATCTCAACACAATCTACGCTCTAAAGTTCAACTGCAGGCAGAGTCTAAGCACCTGAGACCGCAGTCATAATCCCTGAATTAAGTTTTCAATTATTTGCAAATCGTTTCTGCTGGCCATAAAATATGGACAGTGACTTTAAGGCAAATGTACCTAGGAAACAGATATTCTGTTATCCCGATTGCAAACTAGCATGACAGAAAAAAGTATGACAAGGCATCAGACAGCATACCTTACGAATCAATGAGCGGATTAAGCAAGCAGCTGACAGCGGACGAAGTACTTCCGTAAATTAGCATGGCTCAATACAAGAAAAGTGGATGCTACAATGCTGAAAAATGGATCTGCTGTAACCTATTTAAGCAGTAAGACTTTCAACTTTCACTAAGATTGTAATGAAAGAGCAAGCTGCTACTACACAGCCTTTCGACTTCATTACCGTTCATTCGCGTCCTTTACATCACTTTGCAAAGGATACAATGAATATTTTTCATGCATTTGCAGTAATTTAGAAAAAGCAAAATCCTCCTAAACTGCGAATAAAACGTCTGTAGATAATTAGATAAGCCAACATTTTGCAATACATTAAAAAATATGCTTGTTTTCCCCATACTTCCAATAAACCCTACTTCAGCACAATGGTTCAAGTGCAGCCATCTGCAGGACCAGTAAAATGACCATTGGTCCAGAACACATTAAATGGCAAAACTTCAAATGACAAAAATGTAAGCCTGTCCGTTCGAAGGCGTGCGAACATTACTTACTGAAATCGAACTTTATCAACTTCGAATTTAGTCTCGAAGATGCCTCTAGTCATAACTCGGCATCTCAGGATATCCTAAAATCAAAAAACGTTATTTCCCCAGATAAAAAACAACGATTAACCATATTATATAAATGAAAGACTACCTGAATCACTCAAAGAGCGCTTCCAACATTTGAGACTGCGCTACTGCATTGAATTAGGCGAGAAGTTAAGGAGGCATGAGATAAAACTCTTTGAATGACGAATTATTCAATGAATGAACAATGAATTCTTTGCATTGTGGCGGACATATACACTGATGACAACGTCGGTAACCTATCCCATAATCGGTGAGGCTGTTCGAATAAGTAACCGCCTCCATAGACCGTCTGTCCAGCGCACTGCCTTTAGAATGTCACCTTGTCATCGCAAAACTTTACAGCAGCTGCAGTGGTAGATTATAGCAGTGATGAAAATCAGTTTGGTGAACTTAGTGGCGATTTTGTTGAATTTGGACTAAAAAATGCTGTTTATGCTAAGGAGCCGCCTCTAACGCTTCATGTGGATCGGCAGAACGATACCAACATCTACCTTTGCAGCTCTAGGTCTCGAACCAGTCTATGCAAGGTGATGACGAAAATCAATTTTCGCTAACATAATGGACGTGCTGAGTAGTGTTACAGGCAGTACAATAACCACAGCTTAACGTATCTCAGAACAGGCAAGGGCCTGATTTCCTAACGATAGAATACTGC